TAGAAAGGACTCAAAGAGAGCACCTGAGCAGCAGCAACAGTCAGAAAAACAAATTTTTCTTTTGTTGTAGATTTGAATTCTGGGTATATTTTGAATTCCATAGAGGGCTAAGATACTTTCGCCCACTCTCCTGGTTTTGGAGTCATGGAATAGTTAATCTTTGAATACCATCTACATCAAGACCCAGTTCATGCTTCTTTTGTCTCTACTATGAAAACTGTAGGTAGTTTCTGTTCATAGAATTTACTCTTGGTGATGTTACTCCCATACCTGAGAAATGTGGAGGTGTCTGTCACGTTCTTCTCTATACCCTGTCTTAAGCCTTCAGGGTTGGGTCTCAAAGCCTAGAGTACCACCCTTGGCAGGCTTGTCATCAGTATTTTATAATTTCAGCAGTAACAAGGTAGAACTCAGATGTGTTCTCCAATGTGCTTTATCCTGACCTCAACACTGCCCTCCTCAACTCTTATCTTACTCAACCATCAATTTTAGGTAAATTTGTTTTAATGCAGACAGCCTTCACTGGCCCTGGGGAGCATGTCCCAACTGCCTCTATATCATTTGGTTCTTCATTACCAATCATAGTTCGTTCTTTCTTCTGCGTACTTGGGTTTTCTGCATTTTACTCTGTGACTCTTCCATGCATTGTTTCCACATTGGAGTCTTCCATGAGATCCCCCACTCCGAAAAGAACACTGAGTGATCTGTGAATGCTTTACTCGAACTTAGATGAAAGTCTGATAAGAAATTCCCGTGAACTCTTAAAGCCAGAATCTCACATCCACCTCTCCTCTGAATTATTCCCATACAAAAATAAGAATATGTTTCAAACAGGAAACATGGAACTCTGCACTGAGCAGCACCACGGTGCCTGTCACGGACTTGAACTCCCCAGTGCATACGTTTTGTTAAAGAGAAAGCATTACTTGTGTTCTCCAGTCCTGTTTAAGGCATCTTATCACTGAAGACCTGGCTTATGTTTATTTTTTATTTTTTTGCAAAATGAAGGACTTGGTTTTGGACATTGTTTATCTCCCTGTTTGCTTTTTCAGCAGCCCTGGGAAGGAACTGACTCCCAGGAAGCAAAAGTTGTACTGTTGTTTGCAGCAGCACTGTGCTGACAGCAAAATCAGGCACAGGCTCTCCCCATTTGCTTTTTCAGCAGCCTTGGGAAGGAATTGACTCTCAGGAAGCAAAAGTTGTACTGTTGTCTGCAGCAGCACTGTGCTGACAGCAAAATCAGGCACAGGCTCTCCCTGTTTGCTTTTTCAGCAGCCTTGGGAAGGAACTGACTCTCAGGAAGCAAAAGTTGCACTTTAGACTGCCGCAGCACTGTGCTGACAGTGAAATCAGGCACAGGCTTCTGAAGTGTACAGTGTTGCAAAAGAAATCTTCAAAGAGCAAGGACTGGATGCTTTGTCAGCTTTATATATGTGGAGTCTTTCTGAAGGACCATAGCAGGTGTCTATATGGCTCTCTCCATTCCACTGGGGATGCTAAGATATCCCCAATTCATCTTTTTCTTGGAAAGCTCGATCCAGCCCTCTGGCTCAGCAGAGGGCCTCCTCTTTTTTGGCCACTGGCAGTGTATTACACATCATTTTTTTTCTGAGGATTTTCTTTTGGCAGGGCTCTGAGGGTAGCAACATGAACGGCTTCTGGGGAGTCTCCCCATATGAAGGTCCACTTGTCCCTGTAGTTGGTATATTCTTTTAGATGATTAGTTGGTAATGACTCATTTCCAGTTGGGATGATTTGCACTCTTTGGGATGATATGCAAGTTTTGTCATCTTGATAGGAATAAACGAGAGGAGACATTTAGACTCTTATTCCATTCTGAAGCTTAGCAGTGCTTATGTGTTATTTATTTGCTCTCCTAACTGGAGGGACCTGAGGATTATGTGTCTTTAAAGGAACACATTTATTCTCTATGTTGTAAGTGGCAAATTTCTTCATAGCAATGAGAAACCTCTACAGAGAACACTCTTAATGTTCTGGGCCATTGCTGAATGTATGCATGATTACCTTCCTGGTGCAGTGGAGACCTTTGATTTCTTCTCTCCACAGTTTCTTTGGGTCTATAAGCCACATTTTACATCAGCTTTAAATACTCTTTCTCATTTGCTTAGCCTTGTAAGGAGCTCAGAGTCACCCTGATGCATTCAGGGACCCTTCTCCCTCCTGCTACCTTTCTTCAGTTACTATGTTTTTACTTTTTTTTTGATCTGCATTGCACCAAATTATAACAATGTAAATATTTTAAGAGCAAACTTAACAAGCTTAGAAAATATTTTTGCTTTTTTCTTCCTCTTGCCTTATTCGTAAATGAATGATATATTTATGTAGTTTACATATTTGAAAAAAAATGGTTGTCCAGAATAATCCGTTGTGCCTGAGATCAGTGTGGACTGAGCTAAGAATTTATAAATATTGATGACCAGATCATGAGACTTCTCGGTATATGTTTGCCAATGAGAAGCCTATTTTTAACAGGTTAGGTAGATACTCCCCTGTTATTCCCTACCTTCATCCCTCAGTATGGCCAGTCTTGTTTTCAGGCAGCTACAATTACAGAAAACAGAGAACAAACAATTCTCTTATGCTTTTAAAAATGTTCTTCCCACATCCTGGAAGAATGAGTCTTCTGAGGTCTGAGGAGCCTTCTCCTGAGCTCCACGAGCCCTTTCTAGTGATAGTCTTAGATAGCCCAGATGATGGAGGCTCCGAGGCAAATGCAATCATTTATTTTGTAAGCATCTGGTTCTGGCTGGGAGATAAGCATGCCAGTGGGAGAGCAAATAAATAACAAATTGTCCTGCAATCAAAGACATAGAAGGTAGAATACTAGGTGTTAAACATTCAATATTAAATAATATTGAATAATAAAAGCTCCTGGGACACAGCTTGCTCCTTTTCAATTTCTTCTTGATGTTCATGGACCTATTTACAGCTCTCATCTCACTTCTGGATCATCCTGCTGGTGGTTTTTTTTATTTTTTTGGTTGTTGTTTGTTTGGTTTTTGTTTTTTCAAGACAGGGTTTCTCTGTGTAGTTTTGGAGCCTGTCCTGTCATTCTCTCTGTAGACGAGGCTGGCCTCGAACTCAGAGATCTGCCTGCCTCTGCCTCCCAAGTGCTGGGTTTAAAGTGTGTGTGCCACTACTGCCTGGCTAGTTTTATGTAACTTTTTTCAGTATCCTCTGGTCTGTTTCTTAATATAAAGTGTTCCATTTTGTTTTTTATTTAATCATATGTACATAATATAATAAGAATGTATAATATATAAGCATATATATATATATATAAACACTCTAATAAAAAGATTATTAAGTAGAGATAAAAAACAAACAATGGAGACACTGTCACAGTTAATATCTATGCATATGCCTTTCTAAACACTTGTTTTCCTCCTTAAAGATAGTCCCCATTCCCCTGAGTTTTGACACATTCATACTGTTTTGTAATAATGTGGTCACACCCACATGCCAAATTTTCCTTTCTTTATTGAAAGTATTTAGAGCATATCTTTCTCTGTCCATCCTCTATTCAATCTGAGCCACTTCCTATTTTGAGTAAAATCATGTGTTAGGTTATTTAATTCTGAGCAATATGAGTCTAATCTAGAATGAGATTAATGCCTATCCTATCAATGTGGCCACTGAGTTTCATCAATTATGTGTTGTAAGCTTCTCTGGGATTTACTCAACATCTCCCTGGCATTGCCTTATCTTATGCCTTCACTAAACCTTACCTTGTTTTTAGTTCCCACCCTAAGTGATTCATCTTTTATGCCCCATCAAAACTGTTTTTGTGAAATGAAAATGTTATCCATTACTTCTTTGCTTAAAACCTTTCATGAATTTCGTACTGCTGACAAGATAAACTCCAGGACGGTAAATCCTGTACTGAGGGGATCCCTACATAGCCATCATATGTCCTGCCACTTATCTTTTCATGAATTTTCCATCTGTACTGATCATACAATGTCTCCATTTTGTACTTTCTTTTTTCTGTTCATTTTAAATATCCCTTTTTTTTAATCCTTGCCAAACTCCCAAGTGTCCCTTAGCTTCTGAGAATTCTTATAGATTCATCACATATCTGACCATTTTCCTGGGAATGCTATTTTGTATATCATTGTTTTAGAAGTTGGAGAGACTTACAAAGTGATGGATACGTCAAGCAGGAGGCACTTGTAAAGCTACAGTTATCACTGCAAAATGGGGAAGGCATTGTCCACACTACTGAGACAAGGTTAGCCAATGGCCACCACTCTTCCTCTTTTCCAGGATCAAGTCAAATTCTTAAGTAGATGTGAGTTTTTTTTTTAAAAAAAAAACCTGTAAAGGGTCACCCAGAGATAAGATACTGTAATAGAATAAGATAAATTAAAAAAGAAATTGAGACAAAGGGAAAACAAAAGTGACTTGAGGATATGGAATGATTATTAGCCTTCACTTGATCTGTTTTGTAGATGAGAGGTACATATTTGGCTCTTAAGCATTGAGTTATCCTACTTCAAAAAAGTAATTATTGCCATAGACCTGTGATTAAGGAAAAGTCCAGTCACTTAGGAATATCTTGAATTCAATGAGAAATTTTCCTTTTTCATTTTACTTAATATAAAAATTGATTCAAATTTATTTGTAGCCACTGATACCTTCATTCTTGAGGACATTGATCCAGAACACTGGCATCAACTTCTCTTGAAATCTTTCATACTAAAGACATCTAGATCAGAGGCAGTATTAAGCCTGCTCCAGGAATCAAGTCAGCTATATTAAATCTTGAGTAAGTAGGATAGAATCTCTTGGCCCAATAGTCAATGGCGATTGAGAGCATTGGAAGCAATTATTAGAGAGATTTCTGGTATCCCCAAATACCTGAGAGTGCCACCATATGACAATAGATGGCTTAGTGTATTCTTATCCAGTTTTGTCTTCTCAAACAATGAGGTTTCACTATCCACTTCAAGTAGGTACGGGGATCCATCCATGTACTGTCATAATGTTGAAACTGTGTAGTAGGTAGTCATCTGGGTTTATCCTGAGACTAATTCTCTTGCTGTAGTAACTCTTCCCCATGTGACTAAAGCTCTCCATTGATTAAGGCAACACCGAGGATCCAACTCAAGGTCTCCAGTTGATCCTGTGGCTAGTCAGTCCTCAACTATATAGTTCAATAATAGGTTAGGAGTGATACTATGAGCTAAAGGTTGTAAGGTTTACAACATGAGAGTTTTGAACCTCTTCTGTACTTGGAGACTGTTGGCCCTGATACTGTCACTGATAGCTACAATAAAAAGCAAGTCATTACTGAGTCTCAGAATGGGTATCTCCAATCAAGTGAAGTTAGGTATCACAGCTACCAAAGAGATTAAATCTTATTCTTCTTCCCTGCTTGACCAAACAAGTATTATCTCTTTGATACTTTGACAGAGAGGAAACTGTAATAAAGTTTATCAAAGAGCACAAGAATATCAAACTAGCAGTTATAGGGTGGAATGGTGCTTTGAGAGCTGGATCCAATGTGGGTCATCTCCTTCTCTAATTCTGGCCTGTGACTAATGTGCATCTAAGGGACCTAGCTGAAGTCTTCCAATAGAGTAAACTTTAGATGGCTCTTGAGGAGAGTTGGAGTTTGATCCTCTGAATGATCCATAGCTGGATCCATCTGGCGAGCTGATAGAAAGATAGCTAGTTGGTTCCTCCAAGAGGTATTTCTAGTTGACCTGTCCTCACAATATGCCTAGGCCTCTTCCCTAAAGACTGTCTGAAACTTGTATTCATGACTATGCATCTGCTAGTTCCAGGTACCTGGGCCTTATAGGAAGGGTTCTCACAGTGGATATCTTGTGCTCTTTAATTTCTAAGACTCAGAGTTTAATTATTCTGGACCTTTATTCTATCCTACCTTAAAATTGTATTCCCTACTGTTCTCTTTCCAACCTGAGTCCTCTTTACTAGACATTGTTTCTATGATATTTTTAAAGGCGGCCTAAACTCCAGAGACAAATTTGGAGTGGACTTTATATGTTCAATAAGTATTGTATTTCAGTGACCAAAGATGGCAAACATAATGTGGTGTATATGGAAATAAGATGATGTTGAAGCACACACACACACACACACACACACACACACACACACACACACACACACACAAACATTGCTTTTGTTTGCTAGTGTCACTATATAGTTTTCCCATGGTATGGACAAAGACAGAAAAGAGACCCAAAAGCAGTTTGGAGTTTGGATCCATTTCTGGAACATTTCCTCTTGGACTTACATACATCTTTTATGATTATAAAAGACATCATATATTTTTGACATCCCAGACTCAGGGTGTGAATTACTGGACTTCAAGGTACATATACTGATTCCCTCTTTTGGGTGACCCAGATATTGGTAAAACTACCTTACTGTAGTTTCCTGCTAATGCTTCTCCCTTGCTTGCTCATTTTGGGACCCCGTGGGTGGGCATCTCGGGAGAGTTTCTTCTTATATCTGATATATTTGTTTATTTCCTGATAGGGAGGCGGGCCTTTCTAATTAAATTGGTAACTATGGATCTTATGAGGCTTTGCTTCTCTCCAGAGTAGAATCGTCCTTTACATTTTTAGAACCAGCTCATGCTCTTAATGGAGATATTTCAATCCTGGCAGGATTGCTGTGGCTGTTGGATATTGGTGAGAATATTTGATGACTGGGATGGGAGACAATCATCCCCCATTTTAAAGTATTCCCTGCTTAAGCAGACCTATTTTGGCTCAAGCATGTAACAGTGGCATATACTGAAAACCTTTGGGAACAATTTCTTGGAAGCTGCTCTACTGGTCTTGATCCTTGCCCTTGGCCTTTGTCCTGGCCATCCCAAACTGCTATCCTACACAGTGAAGCTGTGAGTCATCTTGTGTTTGCTTGAATGGCTGGACTCTGCTGGAGGACAGAGGCCTTCAGGGAAATTTCTCATAGTTCTTGGGAACTTGACAACTTCTTGGGAAGTTGACAGTATTGGTAACTTTGGCTCTAGGCTTCTCTCAGGCTACAGCATTGATTCATTAAGGGGGATTCTCTGCTTGCCTATTTAATAGCTTATACTCCTTATTCATCCATCAGTCTGTGATCTGTACATTGCTCCTGGGAAATCAGAGGGTCATTACCATAATCTTTTCAATAGAAAGTCAGTTCTAATAGAAACTCTCTGAAGCTTTGAATGTCCCCTTTCTATCTTGACTCTGAGCTGTAGTCACCTTGCACAGTCTTTTTGTTTTCTGCCTTCAGGATCCCCGAGAGTAGAATGAAATCAATGAACATTGCTTCAGTGCTTTTTATACTTCAGGCTTTGTGAAGGGAATTTCCCAAGCAGATGCCACCTCTGGCGATTCCTGTTGTGTAGTGACATGTCCGTATTTGTTTGGAGAATGAGAGATATTGCCCTCCTTGTGTTGGCATCAACCTGCTGACTTGAAGCTGTCTGTAATCCTTTGCTAAGAGTTAAGATTCTGGAGTTAAGGCCTTCTGTTTCCATTTACCTGAGGGAAGGATTCAGAATTTTCACTAAAGTTGTAATATACCTGGAATTTGGAACCTCCCGAATCCCATCTCCAACCTTGGGCTCAGCCCTTCTGGGTTCCTTTTCATTGCCACTTCCTTTGTGTTTTGACTCTTTTCTAATCCTTCCAAGCTTATTCCTAGTACTGCTTATTGGAAGAGACCTTTCTGTTCTGAATTTAAAATATAATTACAACATAATTTCTCCCCTATCTTTCCTGTTTCCTACACACCCCCTTGCTCTCTCTCAAATTCATGGCCTCTATTTCTTTAATTATCGTTACATACATTATATATGAGCATCTATGTATACACACATATATGCTCAGTCCATTTAATCTTACTTGTATGTATATGATTTCAGGGCTGACTAGTTGGTATTGGGTAACCAATTTTTGGACTCTTCCCTGGGGATGAATGTTTCTCCTGTTCTCAGCAGTATGTAGTTCTTGATCTAAGGTTGAGGTCTCATGAGGATTTCCCTTTCTATGTTAAATATTGGTGTCATCATTGTTCAGGTCTTGTTTAGGAAGTCATGTTGTTGAATCTAAATTGATGAAACTTCAGTGACATTTCTAGGAGACACAATCTCATAGCAAACTTCTTGTTCTTCCAGCTCCTACAATTTTTCACTAAGACTTAAATTCAGGAGTTGTTTGTCACTTGCCTGCATTCTGATCTTTTGCGGCTTTCTATTTGGTCTCAGTCTGTTACCTAAATATGGGTAAAAGAATAAATATTTAGAATATAGTTAGAAGTTATTCTGGTTTAGTAAACTGGCAGTTCTATTTTCTTCCCCAACAACCATGTCTTCACTATATCTGGGTAATTGGCTAAGTTTCCATATCAGGGATGATGTCTCTGTGGAGCAGGGTGTAAGTCTAATTAGAGAACTGCTGGTTACTGTTAAGGTATGCATGCCACTATTGCACCCTTAAGATTGTTGTGCCACAGTGGCCAATATCTTAGTTGATGGCATCATAGCTGGGTTGGATGATTGACTGTTTTCCACCCTTGGGAACTTGCATGGTATCTTCTGGTAAGCTAATCCCAAGGGAAGGGACATTCTGGTCAGAACCAGCTCACTTCCTAACATGAAAGGGACCTTCAAGCTCTGTGGAGATTGCAGTGAACAATTTCCATATGAGAGAACAGAGATTCCTCAAATCCTTTCATTTCCGGAACTCTGGACAAGGGCGTTAAACTTTTGTATCTTTTCTTTAAGTCAAAAAAAAAATAACTTAGAAAACCCAACTAGCAATGTAAAAAGCTGGTGATATTTGACAGACTGTTTTTAGTCCCACATCTGAGACAAAGAGCTGTGGGCATGATCTTCAGACCTAGCTGGTCAGCTTAATCGAGAAATACAATTTCTTATTATTTGTCCAGAAATCTTGAGTGGGTAGCCAGCTGCTGGGAAATCAGTTGATAATTAGCATAGTCTTTTCTGTATAAATCAGCTATCATAGTTCCTTCTAGACCTGCTCAAGATTTACACCCTTTGCATTTGTAAATGCATATAACACATGGAAAAATCCCCATTCTTTATTTTTACCTTCCAAAATATCATATATGTATATAACATATTTGTTCATATCTTTCATCCCATCACTTTGTCTTATTCCTACATCACAGAACTCCTTCTTTCCAACAAGCTCCCTTTCTTCTTTTGTGTCTTTGTGACGCTGTGTGTGTGTGTGTGTGTGTGTGTGTGTGTGTGTGTGTGTGTGTGTATGTGATTGTCCCATTGAACTTAATTATACTTGATGGCAAAGGCATGGGTGTAGGACTATTCACATAGGTTGTAGTTTTGTTTTAATTCATGTATGTGCAACATACTAGTGACTACACAATTGAAAAAAAAAACTTCTCCTTTACCACCAGTCACCAACTGCTAGCAGCTCCTAAAAGAGGAGCGGGTAGAGCTTCAAGGACCTCTTCCCATTCATGGCAAATTATTGATAGATCCAATCCTGTGCAGGTCTTAGGCAAATAACAGCTGCTGTGAGTTTATGGGTGTGATCATCATACTATGTCCATTTTTCTTACATATTTTTTGCTTAATTCTTCTGCTGAAGTCCCCTGAGCCTAGGAGGACATGAAACAGAGGTTCCTTTTAGGGCTGAACATTTAACAGTCACTTATTCTCTCAGCACCTGGACCTCTTATCAGTTTCTGTGGTGATTTCTGTCCATTGCCAAAGAGGCTTCTCTCCCCAAGGTTAAGAGAAACACTAATCCATGAGCATAAATGTAAGTAGTTCAAAGCAATATGGCATATTTACACTGAGCAAACTAACAGTTGTCACTACTCTCTCTCAGCCTATGATCTACCCAGTCATGGAGTTTTGACCATATGTATAGTACCAGATATGAATTCCTTTGTGTGAAGTGGAACTCAAGTTCAATCAGAAAAAAACATTTACCCTGATACCTACATGGGAGTCATGCTACTTTTGCACTGTGGGTTCATCTTGTATGGCGGGTTGGATGTACAATACATTGAGCACAGAACTATGTGAAACTGTTGATGCTTCCCCTACCCACAGCACGATGCACGGCATTTTCAGCATTATGGATGTAAAGGCCTGATTTTCGAGAGACTGAAGATAATCCATAGGCTTCTTTCCATGAATTAAGGGATACGTTTTATTGTACACATTGCTAGGAGAAAGCATTCAAACAAGCTTTTTATCTGGCAGTTTCCCTTTCCATGTCATAGTTTCTTTTCTTTTTTTTTTCAATTCAGAGGCGTGATAGTATTTGTTATCTAGTTGGCTTACCTTGGCTTTACTGGTTCCAGACTAAGTAGTCAGAAGCTCTTGTCTCTGTTACAGAAGTCACTCAGGTAGAGAGAGTGCATATTTAGACCACAGAAGAGAAATGGACTTGGTGGTTAGAGTAGGGCCATTTGTGAATTCTGTTCTTCCTCAGTTTGATCCTCTCCCAGAGATGAAGGGTTCAGTCACTCACTGT